CGGTAAAGGCGATCGAGCAAAAAATTTCCTTAAAAATTTGGAGAAGTTAAAAAACGCTTAAGCAACTTCCAAGGTCTTTAATACGGAATCTGCAATCGGCAAATACAGAAGGTCAATGTATCCTTTATCAAATGGCTGGATCGTCGAATAAACGGGAACTGATACATGCGAGCAAAAAATAATCGGAAGGCCCAAAGCGGCCAGAATGAAGAAAGATGCACTGAAGACTAGATAATGCACCAGATATTTAAGTGGTTAGGACATTTTTTAGACAAGGTCTGAATATCGAGCCATGGGGTTTGCATATCGAGCTATTATTTATTGACTAGCTTAGGGGCAACGACAGAAGAAGCCTTTATAGATAATTTAAGAGTCTATACACACATAAGGCAGTCTTCATATATGGGCGGAAGGGAATTAAACAAGGAGTCTCTATTAAAAAAGGATGAAATTTTTACAGTGCTGAATATAATTTGCTAGGAACATTTGTAGACAAGGGAAGTACCGAGTATACATAGCCATGCTGAAGCTGTGAATTTTTTTAGGGGAGCTGAACGAGAGCGGAAGATCTTGAGCGTGTTCTTTGATAGGTGGAAGATCTAGGAAAACTTTTTCGACTATCTGAGAGACAAATGTGTCTTTATGTGAGAGTTTATAGGCTTTCCGAAGGTCCAGATAATCTTTTAGGCTTGTTGAAGTATCGTGGAGGTTATATAGACTTAAAGGGCCAGTGAGATTTTTTATATAAATGTTCAGGATAATTTATATATGAATTGAAGTTCCAATGAGCCATCATAGGTCAATAGAAGGTACTGAAACACTTTATAAATGAGCTATAGGAGCCAGAAAAAAATGTTTTGACGGTCCAGAGGAGACAAATTGTAGGTCCAGGAGGATTATATATATTCTAAATCTCAGAACTCCTAGAAAATTCTAGATATTTTTTAAATAGATAAACGAAGATCAGCGAAGACTCCCTACGGGCCTGTGTGTCTTTATATGCAAGTTGAAGCTCAAAGAAGCCATGCTCGGCCAACTAAATAGGCTGGAAGACTTCATAAGCGACATATAGGGTCCAGGAAGAATTTCTGAGCGGCCAGCGAGTAATTTCAAGTGATTTGAAAGACCAAAGAGAATATATTAAGGCGAAGTAAAGTTCCAGGAAGATTTTATGAATTCTAGACCTCAAGAGGCAGGTAGCTCGAGAGTCTTCATAGATTAATTTATTAATTAATTTATGGTTCGGGGAAGACACACTATGGACCAATGTGTTTATGCGTGTAAAAGTTCCAATGACTTATAATAGGGCAATAAAATGGGTTTATGGGCAACATATATGGCCCAGGAAAACTTTCTGATGGACCAGACTGTATTTTAATGCGAACTGAAGCGTCAAGGTAAATTTATATACGAATTAAAGTCAGGTATTCCATATAGAAGTGGTGAGGTGCCATATTATCTCACAAGACGAGCGGACATGGGAGTCTTTATAGGAGAGTTTTGTATAACACGTTGAAGGCATGGACTCTTTGTAGGTGACCCTAATGCTAGATGGCCCTAATGTAGAAAGTGAAGGTGGGTAATTGTAAAAGAGGTGTAGAAACCGATTGCCTTTATAGAGATGCAGAGGGACGGATTTCCATAGAGACTTCTTCTCATCATCTGATATATGTGGGACTAAATTTTGCATATTGAATATACCTCAAAGGTCAAGGATACTAAGTCGATTTACATTTTAGTCTTTTGAAAGGTGTTTCAGGCTTTGTATGCGAGCAAAAGAATCATCATATTATAACAAATAGTTTCGTGATAATTTATATATTTCTATTCTGTAGAAAACATTATCTCACCTAGGTCCTCAGATTTTTTCTAGGGTCTCGGATTTTTTTTCTATAGAAACAATTATAGCCCATAGTGATCACAAAATTTTAAAAGAAAAATCATCGAACCGTGGTTCTCCTAGTTTTTTCCTCAGAAAAACCTCAACGAACCGAAGTTATCTTATTTTTTTTTTTCTACAGAAAAATCTCATCGAACCGAGGTTCTCTTAATTTTTTTTAAGAAAAACCTCATCGAACCGATTTTCTTATAATTTTTTCTTTAGGAAAAAAACACCAAACGAAGGATCTCAGAATTGTTGCTATAGAAAAAAATCCCCGAACCGAGGATCTCAGAATTTTTTCTATAGAAAAAGGATCATCGACCCAAGGATCTCAGAATTTTTATAACCTTCATCACACTGTGGAACAGGATATTATGTCTTTGTGCATATGTTTGTAACAGGCAAAAATAATCGAGATAGACCCATGGTTCCTTTTGAGAATATGCATAGAATCACTTTCTAAGTCGATTTATGCATGTCCGTCCGTCCGTCTGTAGATGTTAAATTGTAATCAAAGTACAGGTCGCATTTATGATCCGATTTGGATGAAATTTGGCACAGCTCATTTGTTTGGCCCAATGATGAACCCTATTGATATTCAGAAAAATCGGTTCAGATTTAGATATAGCACTCATATATATTTTCGTCCGATTTAAGGCAAATGGTGCACTAAAGTCCCTATATATATTTCGACTTGCACGACATTTGACACAGCATAATGAATTAAGAGTAGAATTATGTATGTTAAGTTTCGAGAAAATCAGCTCAGATTTAGATATAGCTCCCATATATATTTTCGTCCGATTTTATGTAAATGGTACAGCAATATCCCTATATATCATTCGATTTGCTCGAAATTTGACATAACGTACTGAATTGAGTCAAGAATGATGTGTGCAGAGTTTCGTGAAATTAGGTTCAGATTTATATATAGCTCCCATATATATTTTCGTCCGATTTTATGTATCCCTATATATCATTCGATTTGCTCGAAATTTGGCATAACGTACTGAATTGAGTCTAGAATGATGTGTGCAGAGTTTCGTGAAAATCGGTTCTGATTTATATATAGCTCCCATATATATTTTCGTCTGATTTAAGGTAAATGTTGTACCAAAGTCCCTTAATATCTTTCGGTTTGCACGAAATTTTGCACAGCATAATGAATTAGGTCTAGAATGATGTGTGCAGAGTTTCGTGGAAATAGGTTCAGATTTATATATAGCTCCCATATATATTTTCGTCCGATTTTATGTAAATGGTACAGCAATGTCACTATATATCATTCGATTTGGTCGAAATTTGGCATAACGTACTGAATTGAGTCAAGAATGATGTGTGCAGAGTTTCGCGAAAATCGGTTCAGATTTATATATAGCTCCCATATATATTTTCGTCCGATTTAAGGTAAAAGGGGCACTAAAGTCCCTATATATCTTTCGATTTGCACGAAATTTGGCATAGCGTACTAAATTAAGTCTTGAATGGTATGTGCTATGCCAAGTCCCAAAATTTGGTGAAGGGTTATCATATAGTCGGCCCAGTCCGACTTTACTACTTTCCTTACTGGTTTTCTATAGAAAAAGAATCATCGACCCATATCTCTCAAAGGTCAAGTATACTGAAGTATTTTTAAAGCTTAATATTTTGAAAAGTATTAATGTTTTTGGCTCTGTATACGAGCCTTAATCGATGTTTTGAGGATCCAGGGAGTCTCTTTAACTGAAGTTCAAGGAAATCTTCGTAGGCAAGCTGATGAGTCAGAGAGCCAATGTAGATCAGCCGAAGTGATTTTATACCCTTTGTAGACAAACTAAGGGGCTATTTTTATTTAGAAAATATTATCCGGATTATTATCGAAAATATTATCCGCATAGACTTTTCTGAGGAAAATGTTATCCTTATATTTTTTTATTTATAGAAAATAGTATCCCGATAAATTTGTTCTGTAGCAAATATTATCCCGAAAATGTATTTTTTTTTTAGAAAATTAAATAAATTGTTCCTATAAAAAATGGATGTTTTTTTAAGAGAATGCCAGATAATATTTTCTATAATAAAATAAAATATTCCAATACTTCCATAGGACAAAATTATAATTTTTTGTAGCAGAAAATACGAGTATTATCCGGTAAATTTGTTCTCTATAGAAAATGTTCACATAAATTCCCTATGTTTTTTTATTATTGAAAACGTTAACAAATATTTTTAGGTCCAACCTATTAAACATCGATTCCAACAAGAGTGCTAATTTGAAATTGATTTGAGTTTATTTAGGTTTATGTCTACACATGCTTTGCACCCAGCCTCTAATGATGAAGTATCAAGCAATGCCATTCAAATGAAATAACAAAACAAAAACAACAAATTTTTAATATTTGCCAAGCACGGAAATACATCATCAATAGGCCACAAGTTGGACTAGCCGGCCGGCTTTTAATGAAATGTTTTTGTTGTGCAAAAAAATCCCAAAATTTCAAAATTGTTGGCCTCAAACAGTTGGCCCCGAGTAAGGCTACTGTGGCATAGGTCAATGTTCGATCTGTTTGGTTATTTGATTTGCGGGGTTGTGTTTTTTTTTTTTTCAATATTGTGGTTGGGTTTGTGGTGTAAATTTTTATTTGATTAGCAATTGGGTTTGTTGTGGATTTCAGGGTATGTGTGTGTGCGTGATATGTTCACTTTCTGTAAATTCATTCATGGAGTCCAAGGTGTTCACAACACAAGTCAATCACTCTCTCCCGATCATTATTGTTATTTTCTATTGTGTATTCTTGAACTATTCATCCTACAAATTTTAATTCAATGGCTAATAACATTTATTGACCATGGGAAGCTAATAATTTTGGGAATCACACTTTGTGGTTGGTATTGGTTCAAGGGAGGTGATTCCGATTGCTGAATTCTCTTTGTTTGTTTCTTAATATATTTTTCTTTGAAATCCTCCTAGCAAGTTCCCATTATCTTATTGAAATTAGATTATTATCCGGGGTTTTTACACGGAAACCAAACAATTAAAAAATGCATCCGGATAATATGTTCTCTAAGAAAATCAGGGTATCCGAATTCCTCGAAAAATAACCCCAAATAATTTTCAAAAAATATGTTCGCCACTCACCTTTGGTTCCCTTATAGTTTCCGTGGTCTGGGTGCCAACACCGACACCTTCACCACTACTACTTCTGCCGCCATTGGTGACCACACCATTCACACGATATCTCGAACGAATTTCTTCCTCCTTGACCATATATTTGTCTTTATCTTTTGGTTTTATGGTCTGTTGGGTACCGGCACTACTGCTAGTGCTGCTACTAACACTTTTACGTTCCGCATCTTTTTTATCGCCACTACTGCCACCAGTGAACAATTGCTTCACCTTCTCAAAGCCACCCAATTTTTTGGATCGCTTTAGGGTTGAGGTACTCGTTTTCTCTTGATCCAGCAGATTAGTTTGTGACTGTTGATCGCGTCGTTTTAAGGTGGCACTACTCTGTGGATATTTATCCAAGTGGGGATCGAAATGGGAGCCATCATCAATCGAACGCTCACGATAGACATAATTTTCGGAACGTCTTGGCTGACGTTCATGTTCACAGTAGCGACGTTCTTTTTTCAGGAAACTTTCACAGGATTGGATGCTTTCATCGGGGGTGGGTTTGCGCCATCTGTGAGAGGAAAAGAGAAGAAGAATAGAAAGGGTGAGATAATATTATAAAACTACTATTGAAGTTCTCAGAATTTTTTCTATAGAAAAAATCAGGGAACCAAGGTTCTCAGAGTTTTTTCTATAGAAACAATTATCGAACCAAGGTTCTCCGAATTTTTTCTATAGAAAAAAGTCTCCGAACCGAGGTTTTCCGATTTCTTTCTATAGAAAACCGAGGTCCTCCGATTTTTTTTTATAGAAAAAATCTTCGAACATAGATTCTCTAATTTTTTTATAGAAAACTGAGGAAACCGAGCTTGTCCGAATTTTTTCTGAGGTTCTCTGAATTTTTTCTACAGAAAAAATAAGGGATCTGAGGTTCTCCGATTTTTTTCTAAAAAACCTCCGAACCGAAGTTCTCCGAATTTATTCTATAGAAAAAACCTCCGAACCGAAGTTCTCAGGGAACTGAGGTTCTCCGAATTTTTTCTATAGAAAAAAATCAGGGAACTGAGGTTCTCCGAATTTTTTCTATAGAAAAAAATCAGCGAACTGAGGTTCTCCGAATTATTTCTATAGAAAAAAATCAGCGAACTGAGGTTCTCCGAATTTTTTCTATAAAAAAAAATCAGCGAACTGAGTTTCTCCGAATTTTTTCTATAGAAAAAACCTCCGAAACGAGGTTCTCCGATTTTTTTCTACAGCAAAAACCTCCGAACCGAGGTTATCCGAATTTGTTTCTATAGAAAAAACCTACGAACGGAGGTTCTCAGAATTTTTTCTATAGAAAAAATTACCGAGCTGAGGTTCTCCGATTTTTTTCTATAGAAAAAATTACCGAGCTGACGTTCTCCGATATCTTCTGTAGAAAAAACATCCGAACCGACGTTCTCCGATTTTTTTCTATAAAAAAAACCTCCGAACAGAGGTTCTCCGAATTTTTTCTATAGAAAAACCCTCCGAACCGAGGTTCACCGAATTTTTTTCAATAGAAAAAATTAGCGAACTGAGGTTCTCAAAAATATCGAACCAAGGGTCTTTTATTTGTTTATATAGAACTTTATCCGAATACTATGTCCCTATATTCCTTACCTTGTCACCAAATCTCCATTGAAGGACTCCTTGCGGAAATCATTTTCAATACCCGAATCGCCCTTATCGAAGCTCCTTTGCTGCAGCTTATCCCGCTTCAAGCTGCTGTGCCAACGATCCTCACTACTCAGCCGACCAGTATTCACACCCCTATCTGAATTCATGTCGTAACGTTTCATATTTTCCGGTGATGAACGATATTGATCGGTTGTGGTAAATTGTGAATCAAATGACTTCGGTTCATAGTCTGTGATGAGCTGACGTTCCGTTAGGGGTGAACTATCCCGGGTTGTCTTGGTGTGTGTAAAAGAATCTAAGCGATCACGATGTCTGGTCTCCAACAGAGACGGAGAACTATCCCGGCCATTTTTCGTATACGAATCTAAACGTTCTCGGTGGTGCCTGGGTTCCATTAGGGGTGATGATTCTCGTATAACTTTTCCTGTATAGGAATCCAAACGTTCCCGATGACGTGTTTCCCTTACATGAGGCTTACCATCGGGATCAAATTGAGTCTCCCGCTCATAGACCTCCTTCACGCCACCATGACCATCATCATAGTATTTGGTATGTTTGTAACGTGATGTCTTTTCCATGGTGGTGGCAGTGGTGGGTGCCGCTGTCGAGGGTGAGATAATATCCAAATGACTTCTTTCGGGAGAATATTTATTTAGAATCTCTTTCACTTCGGGTTTGTGATACCTCATAGGTTCATGGGAATCACGTGGGATTTCCCTCTCCGGACTTAGATAACGTTTGGTGTGATAATCACGATCGCGTTCGTCAAGTACTCTCTCGTGGGAATTTTCCCGGGAGTATCCATTACGTTCCAAGGTACCCGAATCACCAAATCTCCGAGTGAGAATACGCGATTCTAGCCGAGCTCGACGATAACCCATATCATCATTGGGATTTACATCTCGGTTGGGTGTGTGGTATCGATCCGTGCTATGGTAGCCATTCTCCCTTGGCGGGGTTATGCTGCGTATTTTCGGAACAATTGGTGGTTCAGCTGGGGACTTACAACGTTTGGTTTGCGTTAGATCTTCATCATAGTATTTACGGGTCTCCAACCCCAGCCCTTCATCCTCATCACTTAGATTGCGTGGTGACAACATTTGCCAGGGTGAAGGGGAAAATGAACCCCCAATGTGGATCGTGGTGGTACCATTGTTGGTATTATAACTTGGCGAGTAATTGTTACGTTGACTAGTTCCAATGAAATCGGTTTGATCCTCCGATTTGTTAAGGCTGCTGCGATTTACCACAGTGGTGCTGACCAATTCACGATCGGGGGTGAAAATATCACGCGATGGCGAACGCATTTCACGCACCGGCGAACGATATTCTCTTACGGGAGATCGGGTGTATTCCCGTCTTGGCAATGTACTGCGTGATTGTGGTTCATCCTGCAGTTCCAATTGGGCATAGGTTATACCCTCATTGGGGCGAATATAAGAAAATGCTGGACCCGTTATGGTTGGGGGTGGGGAAAATCTTTCCATAGATAGACGTTTCACCATCCCGTTTACCGTATGACCTTTGGTCAGCGGCAATTTTTGGGCCGGCAACTGAGAGCTATGCATGTTTTCTTGTGACTTGGCCTGTAGGCTTAGAATTTTCTCTTTAATAACGTCTGATACGGGTATACGTCCTACCAGACCTCCACCGTCTACTTCAGCCTGGGAATGACTGCGTCCTAACAGCTCGTTAATGGCACTTTCATGTTTTTCCTTATCGGTAATGGCTTCCGATTTACGGCGTTCTCGAGTGTGCTTGGTGAAATCTTCTTCGAAATAATCCTCCTTGGAATCGTTTTCTATAATCGGACTCAATTGAGTGGGTAAATGTTTATTCGAACCAGCAGACAGGGCAGATTTAGGTTCCTTTAAAACTTTCTTCAATTTATATGACGAAGAACCCACATCACTTTTACTGCGTACCAAACGTCGACCACCACTATCTTCAAAGCGTGGATCCCTCTCCCCTTGATTGATGTTCGTATCACTTTTACGACTAAACAAACTGAAGATGGAGGGTCTCTTGGGCGGTTTCTTACCAGCTGCGTCACTGTTACTTCGACTAACCGGTTTACTGGGTGGTTTTTTCTTTCGTGACGGCAAGGAATGGAATTTTTTTGGGTTGTTGCTTGCGGAGTCTCCTCCAGAACGTTTTGTCTTTACCCGAAACGTTGGGATATTATCACCATTCTCGGCAATACTTTTATGGCGTTTCGCTTGGGCTAATACTAGGGCAGCCTCTTTTTGTATGTTTTCGGCAGATAAATCGGCAGGCAGCTGATGATATGCGGGTGCAATATACTGTTGTTGATGTTGGGGCGGTAGAAGATTTGTAGTTTCGAAATTCGTTAAATCGTTGGAACGTTTTCCTGGAAAGAGAGAAAGGGAGAGAGAATTATTAAATGTCTGTATTAACTGATATATGGTTCTTTAAAACTACACAAGTATGTCTATAAGTAAGAGAGAGAGAGAAAGAATATTCGCTTCAAAAGTTTTTTCCGATTAATGTGATTGGAATTAGGCATTACGGTTTTTGGAAGTTGAAAACATTTTTTAAAAATTATATCTATATAGGCTGCTTCGACATAAACAGACATATGAAGTTCCGAATTGGTAGTAATTTGGCATTTTTGGTGTTTTGGAGGCTTAAATACATCTATTGATATAGCTCCAATATAAAGGTCCAGAACCCTGGATGTAATTTGGCATTTCGAGTTCTTGGAGGTCTATTAAAAAAATGGTATGCACTATATACGGCAGAAACTCAAAATCCTCGATTTTTATATAATATTTTCAGGGATCTACAGACCCTCAAAGGCATTAAATTTTAACCCACCTCGCATTCAAAACATGTCACGCCTTTTTTTCGACAAATACTCAAAAGCCGAAATCAACAGAGCCTCAAAGACATGGAGTTTTAAAGAATATTTACATGGTTCTGCAGAACCTCAATTGCGAAAATGTTTAAGATTTTTTTCAGGATTCCACAAAGCATCAAAGGCGTGTATTAAAAAAAAAAAATATATATATTTTCAGATCCCTGCAGAGTCTTTAAGGCGTGGATTTTTAATTAATATTTTCAGAGTGGATTTTAAAATCGGGCGTAGATTTTTAATTAATATTTTCAGAGTGGATTTTAAAATCAGGCGTAGATTTTTAAATGCAATTTTCAATTGCAAGAAATATTTTCCCGGCTCTAGGCAGCCTCAATGGTGTGGAATTTTAAATAATATTTTGAATTGCGAGAACTATTTTCCGGGCTCTAAAGAGTCTCAAAGGTGTACAATTTTAAATACGATTTTCAGTACTCTGTAGAGCCTCCAAGACGCGGAGTTTAAAGAATATGTTCAGAGCTTCAAAGCGTTTTAAAATTCAGGATCTGAGTGCCACAAAAGCGTAAATTTTAAAGAATATTATCAGGGCCCCAAAGGCGTGGAGTTTTAAAGAATATTTTCAGGGCTTTGCAGGGCCTCAAAGAGGTTTAGTTTTAAAGGCTTTTTCAGGGCTCTGCAGAACCTAAACGATGTGAATTTTTAAATACTATGTTCAGAGCCTACATGAAGTGGATTTTTAAATACTATTTTCCTAGATCTAGCGAGCTTCAAGGACGTTAATTTCAGAGCAGGGCTGCTTCGACATAAAGGTATTAAAAGCGTCAAGTTTTAAAGAATATTTCCAGAGCACTGCGGATCTTCAAAGGCGTGGAGTTTTAAAAAATATTTTCAGAATCTCAAAGGAGTGGAGTTTTAAAGAATATTTTCAGGGATATACAGAGATCAAAGGAGTGCATTTTAAATTAAAAATGAATGTAATTCGACATTTCAAATTCTAGGTAAATAAAAAAAAACATATCCCATAGAAAAGTTACAATTTAGGCCCATGGTTTTCATCGTCCACACACAAAGGTTCAGGATAAGTTTTCGATGTAGCTCAAATTTCCAATCTGAATGGTAGTAATTTTCTCCGATCACAAAAGTCTACTTGCAGATAATTTCCAATGTCATGGTCCCGACGAATTTAAGACATTTTAAATGCTAACCTCATATTGCGACCCGTACGAACCTTACAACGATTTTTTAATAATAGTATCATTTGCGAATATCATTCTATTTTTACCATGTACAACTATGTTGTGAGGGTTAATAATTAGCGGGTCTAATGTATCAAGGCTTTCAATCTAATACAAATTCTATAGACGGTAGCGGTCGTATATGGGAGAAATACTTATATATTTTGGGGTCTACATACATACGATTATCACACATAAAAATATCGTGAAATATTGTTTTGGGTCAGAATATAGATAGGAAGATTAGTTGTAATGGTATATTTGTGGCCGGCCCCGTTTGACTATACTGCTCCTCTCACCGTCTTTTAATTGTTTATATTTAACATTATCCCACCCATACGGATATTTCATTATCCCACCCAAACTAGCTTTTGAAATTGACTTTTGTTCTTTTCCAAAAATAAATGACTGCAATATTGATAAATTATCATTTAACTGAGATCATAAATAATCATGTTCTATCATGTTATTGTTTGGTAATATGAAAATCATTTATCTATTTTGTCATTTCATGTGTGTTATTCCAACATTTTGTTGTTTGCACATGATGCAGGTTTGTTGCTTAAGTCTTTTGTTATGGGAAACTAACAATATTTCATTGCAAATGTTTGTCTCGCATACATTCATATACAAAAAAAGTGAAGAAATAAATATGTATAATTTAAAATATCCAAATTTCAGATATTAAAAAAAGTAAAAAACGTGCATATGACCCAAGTTTGTTTCATAAGTCTTTTATCAAAACACGAATATCCTTGTTACCATTTCTTTTTACGAAATCGCAAAATAAATATATGAATGTGTGTATGTAATTTCCATCTTTAAAAATTTTTACTTATAACATTGGAAATATACAAATATATGTGAGAACATAATGTATTCCTTCATCCTTGGGTTTTGAAGGTAACTCATAAAACAAGTGGAAGGATCAAAGTGCCGGAGAATCTTAATTTTATCTTGATAATAGCAATTATTCCCATTTCCTAGAAAATAATTTTAATTAAAACCCTCCAGGTTATATTTACAAAATTCCTTGCCGTTATTCTTCTTTCTTTTTTTTTTTTTGAATACACCACTCACTCAAAGAACACAATTGCATTTAGGACCCCCTATACTAATTCATGGTTGTAGGCTCGAAAATAATTGCTGTAGATTAAATATACGTATACCCTTTTCCATGGAAATAAAGAATACCTTTCCATGGAAGTCGCTATTTTCTGATATATTTTTAACAAAAATTCCTTGCCGTTATTCTTTTGTCTTCATTAACTTCTTAGGAATTTATGCCTTCTCTACTTATGCCATCATCAACAGCATCATCATCATCATCATCATCTTTTGATGTATTAATAATATTTCCACGTGTGAATTTGTTGTTAATAACAGATTAAGATATACTATTTTGTTGATGTTGCTGCTGTGCTTGAAGAAATCACCCAAAAGCCTTATGGGTGATTTCTTTCATTCATACAGCCTACATCTATCAACACCACTTGGTCAGCGGTTGCAGGCATAGCCATCATCTACTTCATCAGCATCATCATCTTTAGCTACATCTTTAGCTCCATCTTCCGCTTACATTAGTAATTTAAGACAAATGATGATGTTGCCATTTTTTCTAAATATGAAATGTTTCATATTTTTATCTAGGCTTTTTTGTCGTTTTTGTTGTTGTAGTAGTTTAGCCTTTTTAGTGGTAAAGTGTTTTTGCATACTTAACAGAGTTTTCAACAGTTTCTTGGCATTCAAAATATAACAGCGGCAACAACAACAACAATAAAAATACAAAAGAACCGCTTAAATAAATTTAATGACAGTTATTAGACTAGGCTTTTAAGAATCAAAGCAATTCCACTACATTGAAGCGGTTATTTAATGGGGGGTATTTCCCTACCTCTCGCTCCCTCATCATTGAAGTTCTCTGGGAGAGTTATTGCTTCAAACATTTATAAACTAAGGCCCAGAAACGGCTGAAGCTAGAACCTAGAATCTTGGGCACGAAAAGTACTAAATCTGAAACTAGAACTCTTCAAGAGGCCCAGGAAAAAATATTCTTTAAAAAATCCACGCCTTATAAAACCCGGAAAAATATTAGATGTACAAAAGATTTTTTGGGAAATTCCAAAACTACTACGAAAATTACAAAATTTACGAAAATTACTAAAATGTACCAAATTTGGTAAATAAATTGAAATTTGGAATGAATTGTTGGGTTCATATAAGGAGGTGGTTTTGGAAGTGTGTGCTCATCTATACGAAAAGTACTAAACTGTACTAAATTTGGCGCAATTTGAATCCTGACTTGGCTATAATGGAATAAAGTCCTGATCTTCTTTAGAAAGAAGTATTTCTATAGGTTTTCTACATACACAAGACATCTAGGGGACTTTAATATTTTTAATTTTATTTAAGGCCTATGTTACTAAATACCTCTAGAGAAGTCCCTTAATATTCTGCCTGTTCACCTTCTTGAGACAGTAGATCTTCTTCAGAGTCTTCAAAAGGCCTTCATAAAATCCTCTATAGACGGAAACCCTTCTTTGGGTATTCGGTGGATGAACGATTAGGCTTTTAGAAGATCTTCCTCAGAACTTCTAAAGATTGGAAAAATTAAGAGACCTTCAGAAGATCTTCCTCAGGACACAGGAAACCTTCTGGTAGTACTCTATTTTTATAAGGCCTATGGAATAAATTACCTCTTGAGAGATCCTTGACAAAATTCTGCTTATAACTTTTCGAAAAAAAAGTAAAAATAACAGAAGCCAAGACCTAAGATTTCTAATGGCGTTTCTATTTGTGCAAAAGACCTTTGGAGAAGTCATCAAAAATATTCTTCCTGTAGAAATTCTAAATTCTCTAATTTCTACAGCTCTTTTACAGGCAGAAACTCTTATTAGATCTCTCTAAAGAAATAGGCCTACTAAACAAATGCCACTTTTTTGGAGAATATATTCCAGAATATAACATTTTAAAATGTATCTTCAAACTTA